GTTTTTACAAAACTCAAAACTAACTTTTTCTTACTCAGCTCGATATCCTCTATCAAACCATGTATAAATATATCGAAAAGAAAAAGTGACGGAAACTTCGAATTACGGGCGCCTTATTTATATAAGCATATTGTCACTGAAAAATTTAATAATAATAATAAAATGAAAAGTTTCCTCATTTTAAAGATGATTGTATAATATTGGAGCATGCTGTTTTCTGTTTCCTTTATAGTAGCTAAATATCCAAAAACGTTTTTGCTCAATTTTGAATCATGCCTGGAGCTCTTTTTTATCATTATTCAATGTATTTCATTCGTCTTACTGTTTGTATATTTTTAGTCTTCGAGTCTTTGGAGGGAAAAAACGAAACTTCATATTGAGGGCATGAAATAGTATTTTCAAAGAAATGTAATCCAGATATTTATTCGTCGACATACTTGAATTTCGTAAAAATGCTTATAATTCTAATTGAGTATATTGCATACTATTGGCTCAAATCTTTTGAGATCAGAAAATAATGAACATTATTCTAAATTTTTATTAAATCATGCTACTTCGTGGTGCCATATGTATTAGTAAATGGTTCCATTTACGAATGTACCTTCTTATTGCTAGATTACGAGAAATTTTAATCAAAACTTATTTCTCGTCTAATCGAAATTAAGCTAGACGAACATAACACGAGAAACTTGCACGTTTAGAATAATCCTTCGGTAGCTTCTACTCTTTCTTTAAAGACAGATCTTCACAAAAAAAATCATACAACTATTGAATAAATATAAAATTTTTAGTCATTGCTTGTATTTAATATTGATTCGAAGCTAATAAAGACTGTACGCTTAGGGGACATAGAAAAGCGAAGTATATCTTGTTTTGTATATCATTTTAGTGAATAATCCTAAAATGATTTGTACCAAGTNGAGTTGTGCTTACCTAAAAAAAGCAGAAAAAGAATCATGAAATCATATAGATTCAAATCACTTTTGGATTCTTGTATCTATTTGCTAGTTCCTTCAATTTTTTGGACATATCTGAACTATATTTTTATATAGTTGTTGATGATGATTATAGTTTCAATACAAAAAGAAAAGCTGTGCCATTAGTTTTTAATAAACCAATACTCATAGTAAATTTGGTACAAATAATTTTGGCATTTTTCAATAGTATTTCTGCAAATGATATTAGTATAAATAATTCTTCGCTTCATTAATTCATAAATATTGAAAAAGGAGGGACATCGGCTAAATACTTTTCTTTTGTTGTTTGCTTAAGTGAACATCAGAGTGGTCTGCTTCTGAATATTTTTTTTTTCAAAAAATCAATAATAAATTAAACATGATTCTGCTGCTTATTTTTATCTAACAAATAACAAAAATTCATTCGGGAACTTTTTTAGTTTTGTAGTTGTTTATTTGACGTACCATAAACTCACTTTTTTTATATTTGTTTATTTTTTCATAGATTATGACAATTTATCAACGATATCAAAAGAACATAGTTCAAACGAAGACATTGATGAAATTGAAGATAAAATACCTGAAATAGTAGAAAAGAAGGTTTGTGGGTCTGTTTTAACGATGATTTAAATTTTTGAAAAGAAGTAAGGCGTCGTTTTTAGAAATTGGTCGATACAACAAGTGATTCTGTTGAAATTTCGCAAATATTTACATTTTTTGCAAATATTAACCGCAATATTTGGTAGTTTTGCACATGGTGGTAATGACGTTAGGTACGTATTGAGCTCATGTTCTGAAAATTATCTATTACGTTTTGCATACTACTTTTCAAGCAACGCTATCGGCCCACTTATTGGTTTATGGTTACTCTATGTCGATGGAGTAGTTGTGGGGAAAACTGCTACACCATTGTGGGTTTTATTTTTTGGTGGTATTGGAATTTCTGTCGGTTTGTGGGTATGGGGAAGACGTGTTATTAGAACGATTGGAGAAGATTTGACAAAAATTACACCATCAAGGTAAGGGTAGTTGAATATAACGTTGTTTATTATTACTATTTGAATGATATATATATTTTAGTGGTTTTGTTATTGAAATATCAACAGCATTCACTGTATTATTTGCCTCAAATTTATCTATACCAGTCAGTACAGTATTTCGTTTTTACATATCTTTTAAGAAAAAAGTGATTTGAATCTATATGATTTCATGATTCTTTTTCTGCTTTTTTTAGGTAAGCACAACTCATTGTAAAGTTGGTAGTGTTGTGGCAATTGGTCGTGTGCGTTCGAAACAAAGTGTTGATTGGTCATTATTTCGTAATATAATTGTAGCATGGATCGTGACTGTGCCGGTCACAGGAGGAATCGCAGCTGGCATTATGGCATTATTAAAATTAATTGTTTTATAATGCGTTAATAGAGTGTGGCAATTAAAAAAATGACATTTGAAAATAGTTAATACCTATTTGCGCAACTTGTTTGAATGCGAAAAGCGTTCATTTTCAATCAAGCTGTGGTTTTTTTTATTTGGATAGAGAACTTTACATTGAAAATAGTTTCCAACTTTTTGTTGATCCTTGATATTCCTTTTTTGCTTCGCTACGCTTTTCAACTTTTATCTGTTTTTCAATTAGTATAATAGTGGATAACGTGACAGTTATGTTTTTTATTTGTCGTGTTTCATAAACTGGGACACCCGTTTGTTTTCTATACGCACTGTTTTCTTTACTTAATACACTTTTCAGTATTACTATTAGTAAAAAAGAATGAATTAGAAACGAATGATGCAATACAGATGTGTTTTTGTTTTTCTCTGTTTTGATTTTGTCTAGTTCTCCACGAGATATTTGGTTTTTTCTTATACTTTTATATTGCTTGTTTTCTAATTAGCTGAGCGACAGTATAATGGATAAAAAGCGATAATCTGTGAAAATAATTTGTTAGAAACTTTATAGAGAAGAATAAATGGTGGCACTGATTAACAGATTTTTTTTACAAAGCATACGATATAGAATAATAAGCGTGTTGCATAAAGAAACTAAACTGAAGACGATCGGACCAATTAAGTTGCTATTTGGAGTATAAGTCTTTTAAAAAATGCTCATTTTAGGGAGTATATCAAGAAAATTGTATCTGTAGCACCAGTAAGGTTGCTAAAAAACCCAAACTCTCTACTTTCAGGCCTACTAATCTCAACTGGATGCTTTCTGAGAATCCGCTTAGATAGAGCCAATAAATCTGTGCAAAATGAGAAGTCTCCGACCGCTCTATGACATTTTTTCATGCAACTGTATGAAATCTATGAGAGGCTCCGCAAATATTTTTTACTGTTTTTTTCTATAGATTTTGCTGGTTTCAACGGTCTGGAGGCTCTTGTACATTTCATACAGTTGCATGAAAAAATGTCATAGAATGGTCGAAGACTTCTCATTTTGCACAGACTTATTGGCTCTATCTGACCGCATTCTCAAAAAGCATCCAGTTGAGATTAGAAGACCTGATAGTAGAGGGTTTATACTTTAAATAGCAACTTAATTGGTCCAGTCGTCCTCAGTTTAGCGTAGACCAACTTTTTCATGCAACATACTTATCCTTCGAATGAAAAGAATATAAGGACAGGTCATTGTATGAGTAAGTCTCGCGTGATTTCGGTAATGTACTGGAAAGCGAATAAACTTCTATTTAGAAAAGCATTTGATTTATACGTAATATTTACCTTAAATAGACTTCTAGTGTGCCGACTTACATGGCTACTTAGAGATATTGCTGAACTACTGTCATTTTGGACGATACTTATGTTTTCGTCCTCAATATGAAAAAACATCTGTAAGATCACTTAACTTTAAAAAAATTCATATTTCATCATGTTGAGTGAAGATGCTTATATACCAGTATAATTTCTTCTCTATACGCATATATAAAATTATTTTCTCTACAATAAAACGTGTCATCATCTTCAAGAGCAACTCTTAATGATAATCATATAAAACCATCAATTAATCTGATTCAACATAAACGATCATTATTAAAATCATTATTATAACCAATTGAATTAATCAATGAAGAAAAAATTATTCAATTGATGAGAGAATCTTTAAAGAGGGATTCAGTGAAGGGGGAAACAGCAGACTGAAATCAGCCCAAAATAAGTCGAAAATGACCCAAAATCAATTGATTTTCACTAATTTTCAGTGATTCTCAGTTACCCTCCGTAATTCTCTGTGATTTTCAATGACTTCCAGTCATTTTCGGGACTTTTCATTTGATGAAAATCGACCAAAAAATCGGGAAAATCCCAAAATCAGCTGTTTCCCCCTTGTTCAATACAGAAGGAAATTATTGAAATAGTCAAAAATTATGATGTTGATGTTGAAAAATCATCGAAACAAATAGTACAAATCTTATTCTAAACAGTATTGCATGAAATTAATGATCGCTTAAATATAATTAATCGACAAATACAGGAATATCAAAACATCAAGAAAATATTGAAATCAAATGAGATGATATTGAACGACGTCATAGTTATAATCTTAGATTGTATGGTATTCACAAAGAAGACGCAAAAAAACAATCGTCAATATTGAACACTCAGTGAATATTCCACTATCAGCTCAATATATTCATGTAGCTCATCACCCTGGGACGAAACAAAACGAAAAACATCGCACAATTGAGTGATCCATCTAAGCATTTCGTTTATGTTTGAAATGGTCATGTTTTGTATAAAACAAATTTAGATAAAAAACGAAAATTAATTTTGAAAGAGCAAGATATTAATCTTTTTATTCATGCATTTTCATCTCGACAAAAACCACAAGAAACAGCTGATTGAGTGTAAAAAGGTCACCACGTATTTGAAGTCAGAGGTATGTCAAAATCAGTTATCTTTCATATTTTGTTCATTTTCTTATTTTTCTTCTTCCAGACTAAGTCGCTTTTTATTCTTTCTTTTACCTTAGTCTAATGTCAAACTTTCTTTGCTTTATATATGAAGGTATAATCAAGGTTAGTACAGTATACATCCAGGGATCCCAGATCCAAAACACGAAAATCAGAAAAACCCGAGAAAAAGAAGCAGAAAATCAGTAGACCTTAGACAAAAAAGAGCAGAAACGAGGCAGAAAAGGTTCCAAAAATCAGAATTTTTCTGCCAAAATCAGAAGATCTGGAATCTCTGTATCCATCCCACACGATAAGGATGTCATTTAACTTTTATTCTTATTTCTGTCTTTTTTGTCGTTCTTCTGTTGACATGTGTAAATAGAGCAAATAGAGCACCATTCTTCTATCCATATAACCATCATTAGATTATCACAGATGATGATAAAGATTCATCCTTTTCTCTCTCTATTCTTCTCCTAATCAATAAGATATATATCCTTCTTATCAGATCATTTTGACCGTTAGATGAGAGCTATTTGTCGCTCAATAATTTTTACTTATTATTGTTATAAAATATCGAACCCAGATAATAGTATACTGACCAATGAAGATAATGAATGTTGTTTTCTAATTATACACGTAGTTTATCCACGCTCTTGCAGAAAAAACAAACTTAGTACCAGAATTAAATCTAATTCAACTACTAACAAACAACAAAAACCCTCGTCTCATTGCTATAATTCAGTCGTAGTTGAATGACCAAACCGTAACAACCGATATACAGATAAATAATTATAGTTCTTACAAATGAGATCGAGTGGGTTGTACTGGTGGAGGTTGTCTTTTATAAGGTACTCGTAATTCGAAGCTTCCATGACTTTTTTTTTCTATTAAAAACTGAATCGAATGATATAAAATTTTTGTTGATTTTCGATTTTTCGTGTTCGATTTTTTGTTGTCTCAGTAATTTTTCGGTGTGAAAATTCGGTTAAAACTAAAGGTGTCAGATAGGATGAAAGAATAATATCATTCAACTCAGTTTTTGATGGAGATTCTGAATATGGTATTTTTATTGTATAAAAAGAAGAGTTCCGATGGAGAAAATCAGAATTATGGGCAGAATTCTGATTTTTCGCTTCTGATCTAGAAAAAATGAATTTTTTCAGTGAGGAAACAAAATTAAAAAAAATCGATATGTCCTGTTAAAGCTGACAGTTTGACGGTTGGAATGAGATTAGAGAAATGGCAAAATGTATTCACACAAAAAACTAGATAGGTTTGTAAAATGACCTGCTGTCGTTTTGGTGGGTCAGTTCAAGTGAAGCAGACTAAGTCAGTTTTTAGATTTGAGATGAATCAAACATCTTCTCTATAGTCAGTTTTCAATGGTGAATTGAAAACAATTAGTTTCAAACCTTGAAAGTAAAGAGAAAATGCAAAATTTGAATTTTTTGAAACTGTAGTGGACTTTGAGCAAAATGAGTCCTTTAAAGTTTTTCAAAACTTCCACACTGAAAATTTTTTTACAAAACTCAAAACTAACTTTTTCTTACTCAGCTCGATATCTTCTATCCAACCATGTATAAATATATCGAAAAGAAAAAGTGATGGAAACTTCGAATTACGGGCACCTTATGTCAGAAACGATATTTCTATTAAGCACTAAGTAAAGCTCTAATATATTATCTGTTTATATTCTGACAAACGGCCCTGTAATATGATAACTGATGCGTTATTACAAGAAAAACTGTTGTGTGTGGAGGGATTGAGCTTAGAAAAGACACAAAAAGTAATAAAGTAAGTAAAAAGTTGAACGTTATGAAACAGGTTTAAGCAGTAGAATTTTTATCGTTTCAGTAATCAATGGATTCGTAGCTCTTAATATTCCTTCTCTTTTCAAATCACAAATCTTTTTCTTTTTCTGCTTTTTTCTTCTTTCTTTTACCGCACTTTTCTTCTCAGTACTTTTGAATGTCATTCTGCTTTCATTTACAAAGAACAAAAAAGGAGGACAATGACCTCGGGGATTATAGTAGTTCTCGAAAAACTCTAATATCTCGGCCATCTTAGTAGCGACATTTTTTTTTGATAATCCTCACAACAAAGTGTACGAGTTAGATTTTTTTAATCATAAATTTTCTTTTGCTTATTTTTTCCGCAAACAGTACCATAAAGTTTCAAATCGCCCATATCTTAAACGGAATCGTTTATATCACAAATATAAAACAGTGCTTCGTTCAAATCATTGTACGAATTTAAAGTTTGTAATTGAGTCTTATCGTATACCAACCAAGTGTTTTATCAAGGCAAGTGACAAGGAGAAAGTGAAATATTCGGTACGAATAAATGATATTGATGTTAATAACAGAAGTTGGTGGAAATTATTGAAATCATCTATGGGTCGAAGAGCCAGTACTAGTATATCAAGGCTAAAAAATATACAATCACAAGGGTTAATGATAATACCTAGTAAGATCCAGCTTCTGAATGAACATTTTGCGTCAGTTTGTACGATGTTGCCAAT